CCATTGTATTTTTGAGTGTCATTACTTGTAGTTGTATCTGTGACTTCAAATTCTGAATTTGTTCAGAACAAATATTTAACTTCATATCGGAGCTTTGACTGTGCATTTCAACACACAAACACTAGTGCAATTCTTAATCTATAAGGTCTTGAGTTTTGCAACTATTTTACTTCCATGTGAAAAGAATGAATGCATGAATGAATGACTGAATGCATTAATGAATTAATAAGCAAGCAAGCCTGAAGAACTGACAGAAAAAAAAAAGAAATTGAGGCAGTTAAAATCTTATGTATGTTAATATTCAAGGAGACACAAAATGAGGCTATTTTCTGCTGGGTTTTATTGGTTAAATGTCAGTTTGTTTCCTTCCACTCATTTATTTGTATACAGTGCCAGTCAGTTATGATGTGCACTCAGAACACTGGAATATATATATATATATATATATAATGTGATATGTCCAGAGTCACAGAAGATCGTGTGATTGGCATATCTGCAAGCAGACAGACCTTTCTGACTTCAGAACAAATACACAGTCTAGGCAATTCTGACATTTTGTATGCTAGCATAAAAGACATCGTTCTGGAGTCTAGTATTATTTAATTCAAAATAATTATGATGAAAATATTATTTCCAGGCTCATATGCTTGCGAACAACAACAATAATGATGATTTGATCATGGGTTAACAAGAGATTTCAAATTAGATTTATTCCCCATGAGTCAAAGCAATGGCCCTGACATATGCTGATCGCATTCATTCAGGTTTTCTGTAAATGCTACAGATCTGTGTTATGATGTTAGCACAATTAGAATGATCCATATTCATCTTTCAAACTTTCAACAAACATAATTTATCTCATGAATCTGTGAAGTAAAGCTTAACCAAACAAGTCCCGACGCAAAAGAGACACACAGAAAGAGAGAAAAGACATCAGGAGTTCTCGTGTCCAGACTGACTGTGGACGTCCGCCAGGTTTCTCTCCCGAGATTGTGCCCTCTGAGTGTTTTTTATATGTCAACGTCACAAGACAAATAGCGACGGGGAGTATCTGCCCCCTCACCCCCAAAGATGAATCACCCTTGTTGTCCAGTTTGCCAGTCTCCAAACACAGCCTGGGCCACGATCTCACTGGCAAACGCTGCCATGGATTGACCTTCTACTCAAGGTAATGATTACCCCCTTGAGCATGCAGCAGCTGGCAAGGTAATGCATTGTTGGCACGTAAAAGTGATGCTGCAAGAAGTAGAAGGAGATCAGGAGACTCATGTACCCTAGAGTTTGACCATCTGTGGCCTATTGGTCGTCATTAAGGTTTCTAATTTGGGACGACTGGGGAATAAACCAAACCGGGGCTGAAAATGTCATTACCTGACTCCTGGTGAGGTGTCCTCCCATATTTGCATATTCATACACCTTAATTGTCTTTGCCTCACTGCCGTGACATTGAAGCTGTGAAAGCTGGACCAATTCTATTCCAGGTATCACATTTGAAGCAAAGCCAGTGCCGTTAACGTGACAATATAACCCTACATGCTGAGACGGACCATAACGCTTCAAATAGAAGGGAGTTAACGCAGAGAATATTATTGCGACTGTTGTTATGAAGGCCTGGTCACGTTAACGATCTCTTAATTAGAGCTTTGTTCAAACTGTCAGATGGTGGTGCCTGAAACTGCCACTCAAAGCCAGCTTTTAATATCTTTTAATTACTTTTGGCAATTTTAAAAGAAAAGTTTTCAAATGCATGTCAAGTACTTTCTGACAATTAGCATATTTACAGGCTAAAACAAAACAAACTGTATTGTTTTCAGTAGAAAGTTACAGTTTGTTTATTGTTTTAGTATCAGGCAAAGTAGCTATAAATAGGCTACTATAAAAATATAATCCATATATACAATTTTGTTGTGTTTTTTTAAAGAAATAAATACTTTTATTCAAGTTGATCCAAAGTAACAGCAAAAAGAATTTACAGTTTTGACAGAATTGCAGTTTTGCAAGTTCTTCAAATAAATGCCTTCTTTCTAGCCATCAAAGAATCCTAGAAAAAAAAAAGGTATAACAGTTTAAAAAAAAAAAAGGGAAAAAATTAAGCCCACAACATTGTGCCTGTCAACATTGATAAGAATACGTTTTTTTTTCTTCTTTCTTTTTTCATCATATTAGAATGATTTCTGAAGGATAATATGAGACTAAAGACTGGATTAATGACTGCTTAAAATGTAGTTTTACCCTCACAGAATTCAATGACATTTTAAAATATATTAAAATAAAAATCATTTATTTTATATAGCAATAATATTTTTTACTGTATTTTACTCCAATAAAAGCAGCCAGTAACACTTTAGATTAGAGAACACTAAGTGGATATAAAATATGGATAACACCAATTCTCGCTATTAACTAGTTGCTTATTTGCACATACACTTACTTATACTTACTTATTAAGCACATACAGTATTAATGCCTTATGTCTGCATGGTTACATTCTAGATCCCTTAACCGTAACATAAACCTCAACATAACTACTACTACAACAACTACCATATCTACTATCAATAAGCAGCAAATTAGGATTTTATTGAAGGAAAACTGTTAGTTAATAGTAAATATGTGTTCCCTAATAATCTAAAGTGTTACCAAGCAGTCTAGCTGAGCATACTGTAAGAGACGTCTTGAAAACAAACATGAAAACAACACCCCAAACTTTTGAATGGTACCTCTTTTATGTATATAAATATGACAAATTCAAAGATCAATTATTATCCAGTGACAAAAATGAAATTAACTAATGGAATGATACATTCGTATAGAATGAATCTCACAAATGAGATGTTCAGACATATATGGCCGAGAGGCTAATGAAAGGACTAACCCGGTGGGTGCATCTTGACCCATCTGACCCTATAGCTGTCAATACACTACCTTAGCTTGCTTCAACACTTTTGTTTTAACTTTGCTGACTTTTCTTTAGACTGAGAGCTGTGCAGCTGCACAAGAGTAGCAAGGTTTACAAAGCAAATAGAAATGCAATGCTTCCGGCACAAACAGAGACCTAGCTTATTTTTATCCAGCCCAGGCAGAGGAGACAAATGATATGCAGAAAATGTTCCAGTTGGAAGCAGTGAAAAGCTCAGTCAGGTGGGATGGATAAGAATAGTTGTCAACCATACATAATGTAAGCACTGGTCAAAATAAACTGGACTGGTAATTATCTAGTGTATGGTGTGAAATATGCTAATGCTATGCTAATATTTTAGCCAGACATCGATTTATAATGAAAAAATTAGTAAATTAATAAATAAATAAGGCTATAATGAGCTTATTTCTCACAGTTACATATCATAATGTCACATTATGTCACAGTGTAAATTTATATGACAAAGTTTAAAATTGTAATTAATTCTTGCATAATTCCAATTTCATAATGTGACTTTGTACTGGACTCTGGAATGTAACATTATGACCTTGTATCGTATCTTTATCTTTATCTGGGGCAAAAATAGGCTTCCATAGAAATGCATGGCTTTTGTTTTTTGGAGAAAACAAGTCAATTAAATATTTGCTTTTATAGGGAACAATGTACACATCCACATTCCAAATTTTACATCTAGTTTTGGGAAAGCCCTTTAACTGTTACTGCCCAAGATAAAATAAAAAATTTCCCATAGAAAACATGTGGATTATGTCATCCCTTTTTCAGTTGCACTAACTTCAAACTGTTTCCACACCAGAATGAGATGTACGAGTTTTAGCATTTCCTTCAATATTCCCAAGATATCTGGCACTAACAGGGCACTAGGCTCATTATGACCTTGTATCGTATCTTTATCTTTATCTGGGGCAAAAATAGGCTTCCATAGAAATGCATGGCTTTTGTTTTTTGGAGAAAACAAGTCAATTAAATATTTGCTTTTATAGGGAACAATGTACACATCCACATTCCAAATTTTACATCTAGTTTTGGGAAAGCCCTTTAACTGTTACTGCCCAAGATAAAATAAAAAATTTCCCATAGAAAACATGTGGATTATGTCATCCCTTTTTCAGTTGCACTAACTTCAAACTGTTTCCACACCAGAATGAGATGTACGAGTTTTAGCATTTCCTTCAATATTCCCAAGATATCTGGCACTAACAGGGCACTAGGCTGACAAGAACTGACTTTTGGCTTTATTGTATGAAGAACAAGATACATCTCCCTTAACAAACTGGAGATTTTGTCAGTATGAATTCAGTTTGCCAGGAGTCACAACAAATTTGTAGCAGACAAATTTGGCTAAAGCATTGGGAGAAAAGCATTTTCGCTTTCATTAGCCACCCTGTCCCTCCAGGGCTCACAGAGCCTGGTCTATCCTTCCTCTCTCCCCCTAAAACACTCTCTCTCTCTCTCTCTCTCTCTCTCACTCTCTCTC